CTGGAGTCCCTATTGTGTTTTGTTCGATTTCTTCTTACCTATCATTTTTTTGGCCCCCTTCGCGTGGCATTTTTGCCCCCGTGAACAGTATGGTGCCAAAGGGATAATTTATGTGGTCGGTTTCGGGTCAGCCACTAGGGTGGGCGTACTGTCATAAAAAATGCGTTAAGGGCTAAATAACTTCCTGCATAGTTTGTTGTGCACATTAAAAACCTATAGCCCATGCGTTCGGTGAATGGAGCTGAATCTGCCCCATATTAGGGCCACATGTTTTTCCACCGCTACAGCGCGAAATGTCCACAGAACTACTTTTCGGTGTTTCCATCCATTGCGCTTTCTCGATTCGCGGCAACAATGTTTCAGCGTTAGCATCTGTGGACCGTGTTATAAAAATAGTAATTCAAGAATTTTTGATATTCAAAAAATAAGCATGTATAAAGATTAGAACTTCCTGGTTGTTTTTTCACTCAAAAAAAGGAAAGTGGACCAATTTCTCCACATTGGTATGTCCGATTGACACCGAAGTTGTTGGTCCATTAGGTTGCCCCATGTCTCTCGCTTAGGCATCGTGCACAGGTTCAAAGGCATAGCCCACAAGGGTGGCGCCGTGCTTGGAAAATTAAGAAGTTTATTATCCAGCATTGGCACGTGATGATAAAATGAAAACTTGGTATGATGCGGTTGCCTCACTGCCCCTGAGGGCCCAGCTAATAAATGTGTCAACGACTCCGCCACTAGTGGGGCGGCTCTGGCTTGGCAGGGTAAATCACTGTGCGGAGACCCGTAATTCAGTTAATGGAATAATGAAATTCACAGGGGCACTGTAGACTGGTGCCTGTAGCTCACATAACCAGAAAAATCGGTGGTTTGTCGGTGTTTTGTAGAGCCCCGTACCAGGGATTTAAAAAAAAGCAGCCCCGGCGCCACGTGTTCACCGATATGTATGAAACTCGTAAGCACGCTGCTGAACTGAAACTGCTTCTGCACACACACTTACGAAACGTCTCTCCACACACACTACTTAAACGCTCTCACCACACACTACTGAAACGCTCTCACACACGACTACTGAAACGCTTCTCGCACACCAACACTACTGAGAACGCTCTCACCACACACTATGAAACGCTCTCACACAACACTACTGAACGCTCTCAACCCACACACCCTACTGAAACGGTCTCCAGGACACACTACTGGAACACGCTCTGCCTGTGATACATGCACATACGTTTAAAAAGGACTCATTGGCATGAATGCTCTCTCTCGTAGTTCCCTCCGAGTGGTTGGATGGGTCTCAGTCAATCGATTTAGGGCGGCTTGGGGGAGAAGATGCATATAGTGTATGTTTGTGCATTTTAAAAAGCCATTGACAATTATTGGAATATATCAAATGTGAAATTACTTTTGTTGGGCTTTTTTTCTTTCTTTCTTTCTTTTTTTTACAGAAGTTTGCACAATATTTTTTTAAAATGTGTTCTCTTGTGTGTTTGAGCACTTTATCACTTGCTCCTGAACGATGATATAAATTAAAGTTTATTATTTTTTAATTATTATTATTATTATAAAGTACAGTCCAGTACAACACCCATCTCAGTACATCCTCAAAATGTATTGAGTCAAGAACACAAACAAAAGTTACTGCCTCAGAGTGGCCCTGTATTGATATATGACAATATAAGTAAACATCATTAAAATTATGAAAGAAGTTTGACTCCAAACTTTATTCTTTGAGTGAGGGATAATGAAGAGGATGTTGCAAGTTTTTTTTTTGTTTTTTTTTTACCAGTAGGCTACTAGTAATCAGCTGCTCTGCCAGAGCACAGAAACATCACACACTGATATTGCAGTGATGGGACCTGCAGTGACCACAGAAAATTCCAGTGCCTTTCAGAGGGATTGATGTGCACTGAGTTTTACTCATGCCCCTTTGTGTCATAGAGGCTGAGAGACTTTTCATACAGAAGATGAAAAAAGCAAGAAAAAAAAAACAAAACAGGGAATGATATTCACATTCTGCTTTCTCAGACATGTAGAGGAACCCACTGCCCAGTCTGACGCCATATTTGGGACCAATCAGAGCTTGCATTATGAATTTACATGAGTTCAGCTTTATTATCTTCCATTTGGCCTGGCTTTCTTGTGTTTCATTTATTCTGTTGTCATTATGTATTGATCCAATGCTCCCTCCGGTCCAGTAGGTGGCTGTGACGCACCTCTATGGCCTTGCTACACATCAACAGAAGAAGACCAGGGAGCAGCAGAAGCGTCGCAGAAAAAGTAGCAGTAGAAGAAGAAGCCGGCTCCACCAATGAATGGCGACTGGGAGGAAACATTGCTCAACACTTTTCTCTCCACTTCCCGGTGTTTGGACTGTGTGGTCGGACCGGGAGACGCTGCAAAGATGTCCGACAACGGTGGCTCGGCTGTCGGCCTCCTGTCTTACGAGACTCTGGTTCATGCTGTGGCAGGTGCAATGGTGAGCAGAGATTAAAGCGCAATAAGAGGAGATGTCATAACTTTCTGTTGAAGCACGAAGGCCTGTTTTCTTGTCTTACTAGCTCGGTGTTGTTGGCGGTGTAGCAGAACATGTGGAGTGAGTATTTTTGTTTGTAGTCGTCGGTTTCATTACAGTGCATTGTCTTTTAGGGGAGTGTGACAGCTATGACCGTCTTCTTCCCTTTGGACACGGCCAAAAGCAGACTGCAGGGTGAGTTGGAGGTCTTATCATCTTGGGACAGAGGTTACCTGATAGCAGCAACCCTAAAGTGAGTGTTTAGTGTGAAGGTTTACTTCAACATCCCAAAGGAAGGGTGAAGGAGTGGTCCACTCATTTAATATTGCACCAGACTAGTGCCTATATGCTGAGCTCATGAGCCAAGCTACCTACACTTTGGACACCATTAAAAACAGCAGCTGATTAGATCTTTGTGTATTTTCTATTATGAAGCACTATTTGATGTAAAAAAAGGTGCTATATAAATAAACCTATATACTTTTCTTACTTCCTCCTTCCCACTCAAGCTGAGATAACCCTGAGGCAGTGATGGAAAACAATTCAAGTACTGCACCTCAGTTAAATGTTGAGCTACTTTAACTTAAACTACATTCCTCAGGCAAATATTGTACTTTTTACTCCGCTTTAATTATCTGACAACTGTATTAACTAGTTACTTTACTGATTGACATTAATAATACAAAATCTAATCAACAAATAAATGGTGATTATATTATTAAAAAGTAAAAAGTATAGTAGTATAGTAACCTTTATTGTAAATTTACAAGCTTTCCAAGCAATTAAAGTAGTTATCATTTGTCAGCTTCAGCATTAAAGTGATGTACACATTAATGCATCAATAATTATAATCCATTAATATAGATTATTCTTAAGTGGGCCGTCTTATATAAGGAGTACTTTTACTTTTAGTACTTCAAGTTTATTTTAAAGCCAATACTTTTGTACTTTTTACTTGAAGAAAACAGTCTAGTAGAGTGTTTCTACAGTGTGGTATTGCTACTTTTACTTAAGTACAAGATCTGAATACTTCTCCCACCACTGCCCCGATGGCATCACCTGTGTTATTTATTCCGACGGTCCAGCTGTGTAGGCTGAGCAGTACTCCTCATGACCAGTGAACTGATCTTGCCCTTCAACATTTGTTTGTATTTCAGTGGATGAGAAGCGAAAGGCTAAGTCTACCCCCATCATCCTGGCTGAGATAGCAAAGGAAGAAGGCCTGTAAGTATCGTGTTGTGCAGTACAACCAAAGCCTGTTGTTAGAGTTGATACTTTTAGTTTATAAATCAGTTGGTCAACAGCAAATTAACCTCCAACAATTTACTTTTTTTAAATTAAACATGGCAAAAAATGATCTGGTTCCATCTTATCAAATATGAATATTTAACTTGGAGGTTTCGGACTGTGAGGGATTAATGACAAGGGATTAATTGAGAGAGTAATCACCAGATTAATACGAATTGGCTCTAATCTAAACTATTACCGGCTGTTTAGGCAGATGGTGTCGCCACATGACTGAAGACTCACTATTCAAATGACTCTCCACCACTTCTCCCAGTCAGTCTCTGTACAGGGGCTGGTTACCAGTCATCTCCAGCCTCTGCTGCTCCAACTTTGTCTACTTCTACACCTTCCACACGCTGAAGAAGCTGGTGGCATCCGGTCCAGGCACGTCCAGACCCGGCAAAGACCTGCTCATGGGGGTCGTATCAGGTACACACACACACATACAGTAAAACAAATCATTTGTAATGACATAATGACAACCATCAAGTGAAGGATTTAAAGGTGCCCTGTGGAGTTTTCTTGTTAACAAACAAAAGTTATGTGTATAAAACAGCTGCTCCGTAGAGATACTTGAGGTCAAAAACTCTACAAGATGCTTTTAAGAATAAAGAATGAAGCTAACTATCTGTTGCTCACGCAGGGGTGGTGAATGTGATCCTGACTACTCCCATGTGGGTGGTGAATACTCGATTGAAGCTGCAGGGAGCAAAGTTCAGAAACGAAGACCTGCAGCAGACCCAGTACAGGGGCATATTTGGTGTGTGATATGTATATACGTATCATAGTTTAACAGCTCAGACATGCTTTTTTTGTTTGTTACGTCACAGTTGTAAAACCCTTTGTCTTCCCCTTTTTAGACGCTTTCTCGCAGATCATAGCCAATGAGGGCGTGGGAACTCTGTGGAACGGCACTCTGCCCTCTCTCATCCTCGTCCTCAACCCGGCAGTACAGTTCATGTTTTATGAGGCCATGAAGAGGAGGGCAGGGAAAGGAGGGAAGAGGGTGAGAGGACACAAGAAATATACTGTTGCATGGAACACTACTAACGGCAGTAATCGCTTTCGACTGGGTTGACTCATTTGTTGTTTAAGCTATAGTCAAGATAATGTGAGCTAACATCATGAAAACTGGTAATTCAATAATCTTATATCACACACGACACATCATACCAATCCTAAACCACTCTGTTTAAAACTAGTTTAACTGTGTTATTTTTTACTAATAACATTAATGTTTGTTTATTAACTGCCCCTGGCCTCCTCTCATTTTGCCATAATGGCCCCCTCACATAGCCAGTTGAGTATCAGCAGTCAGCTAGTGTCTCTGTGCGGCTGTACTTAAGAGTGGGTGCACAGGTTCGACTGGTAGGTGAGGTTCCCGGAGGCCCGAGGGAGAGCTAATGTCAGCACATTAACATGCTCACAATGACATTTTAACTTGTTGATCATGTTCACCGTCTTAGTTTTGCATGTTAGCACACTGAGAGTTGCTGATTGGCACAAAACAAAAAAAAGTCCAGCGGAGGCTGATGGGAGTAACGTTTTTAGTTTTACACGTATGTTAGGGTATTGGACAGATTTAAATTTAGACCTGCTGGTGGCCAAGAGGCAAAGTCAAAGGATAATCAAATTCAGTAGGATCTATCCTCTGGGGAACGTTAATGTCTGTACAAAGTTTCATTGCAATCTATCCAATAGTGGTTGAGATATTTCAGTCTGGATCAAAGTGGTGAACAGACAATGCCAACCTTAGATCCATGCTGCTTGTTTGGCTAAAAAAATATTGATTGTTTAATATTTTCATTTCATTTTGGCCACTGTTTATTTTACATTTTGAATCATACTTGTAGAAAACTTAAATCAATCTAATAGTGATTTGCTAGGATAACACTCAAATCTTTGCCTCCTACCACAGATATCCTCAGCAGAGATCTTTCTCATTGGAGCCATTGCCAAGGCCATCGCTACCACTGCAACATATCCTCTTCAGACAGTTCAGGCCATCCTGAGGGTAAATACTATCTTATATACTATTCTCACTGTTCTGATTATTCACACATTAGCCACTGGGGAGATTTTATGTTTTTTTTATTGTCAACAAATCTTATAAAAATACAGCAGACAGCAACAATGAATTGATCCTACAAAAGGGATATTTCTGTGTAGCCAAACCTGGATCTTATTCCTCTGTGCCCCTGATGATGATGATGATGATGATGATGATGATGATGATGATGATGATGAGCCATTGTTGTCCGAAAACTGTTGAAAACACACCAATGAGCACTGTTGCACTGGGTGAAACCAAAGTGAAAAAACTCTGCTGTTCTGGTCTCAGCTGGTTGCCAGGCAACTATTTTTTTTGGTCCAGGCCGGTTGCCCCGTAACCAGTAGAAACTCCAGGAAATGACTGGTACTGACCGAGAAATAGTCCAATCAGTAGGAACGAATGGGCTTTGTGTGCCACAGACAGGGTAGAAGAGTCAGAAGGCACTAATGGATGAAGCAATGCTTTAAGTTTAGTTTTTTCATGGGATTTATTGATGATATTTTTCCAACTATATTTTTAACATTATGTTTTTTAATGTGTGTTGTTGATGGCAAGAGAAGAATAAAGCATTTTTAACAATTTATACTTCACATCGATGCACAGAAGTTAATGTTTAGGAGCTAGAAACTAATGCAGCCCTCTGTAATCACTATATATTTTATTTTATTTTATCAAGTCAACTTTATTGTCAAATATGCTATACATGCACGACATACAGCATAGATGAAATTTCAGTCCTCTTGGACCCACGGTGCAAACAGGCAATAAATATAAGATATATATATATATTGTAGATTATACAGATGTTAGTGGAGAATATCTTCAGGTTCTCACGAGAATGTGCAAAAGAAATCATCACATCTCAAGGAATTAACATAACCTGCTTCATGCTTCCTCATTAAGTTCGGCCAGTACAAAGGTGACGGCAAAGGCGGCGTGATCGGAAGCCTCTCGAACATTTTCTCCCTGCTCGTGGATCGAATCAAGTGAGTGCAGCTACGAACACAAACACATTCACATGACACAGTGAGCGCACTGTTGAAGATGTTATGATAGCTGGTCACTGACATACATGTGTTCCCTTTCTATTGCAGGAGGTATGGCGTTCTCGGCCTGTACAAAGGCCTGGAGGCCAAGCTGCTACAGACAGTGCTGACGGCTGCCCTCATGTTTGTGGTGTATGAGAAGATCACTGCTGCTACCTTCAAAGTCATGGGCCTGAACAAGAAACTGAAGCAGTGAACACATAGCCGGCTGGATACAGTACAAGTATTAGATCCCCACGCTTGCCCAAAACATACACCACAACCAGGGATAGGTGTAATACTTTTAATATACTCTCTTTCTTAACCTTTAACTGGTTCCATTTGTGCAGACTGGCCTTAATTGCCTCCACTGGTGAACCTCTGGTGATCTTACAGGAGCTGAATTGAGTTTGATTATCAAGGTAAAGGGACGCAAATTAGTGTCACTAACTCCAATAAGTTATGAGAATGTATTTGTCCTTTGATTTGGCTGTATTCAAAAGATTCTTCTGATGTAAGTAGTTTGTTGAATGCAGAGCTAAAGTGGCTCCAATCTTAATTAATTTAACCTTTGTGAGGCTAAATTAATCATTGTGAACATTGAATCATATCTTAGCATAAAATGAAAATAAAAAACACCAGCTGAGATTTTAAAAGTAGTTTGGAAAAACTTGTAAAAGGAGAAGTTTGACATTTGGGAATATCCTCTTTTTGGCTTTCTTGCCTGGAGTTAGTGGAGATGATTGATACTCATGTAACATTACAATAAATTTGAAGCCACCACCAGTTAGCTTAGGACAAAGTCTGGAAACGGGGAGACGGCTAGCCTGGCTTTGTCGAAAGGCGACTAAATCTGCCTACCAGCACTTCTAAATCCCAGTTCAAACCAAAAATTCACGACGAGTTGAAATAGTTTCAGAACGTGTTAATTAATAAGCTTTATAGAGCCAATCTTTGTGCTAAGCTAAGTTAGCGGGCTGCGGTAGCTTCATATTTAGGTGTTACAGATATGAGAGCAGTGACTAAAACATAACCCAATGTCAATAAAATGTTTCTGATTCTTATCGAAATCTCGGCAAGAAAGTGAATAAGCGTGTTTCCCAAAATCTTTTTAAAGTGAGGGGGTTTGTTGCAAATGATGAGACCAATAAGGCGCCTAGCTACTGAGGATTGCCTTGATCTAAGCTACTGGACCAGTCTTCACATACTGTCTTATGTTTTAACTGTGAATTTAACTCAGTTTGATAGAAACCTCATGAAATTCCTGCCAGATAAATGTTTTTAATGTACTGATTTGAGATTATTACACACAAATTAGAAGTTATAACAACAGTGAAAGGGAGAGAAGTGCAGAGCTCCCTTTCATATTTATAAACTCGTGTGTAAAATGTTTGTAAAAGAAACTTTTCCAGCTCATAAAGGTCTTAATTTTAACATTCATAATATATTAAGTAAAAATGAATGTAATATAAACAGGAATGAGAGTACTTAAGCCTACACAGTTACATGTGTACAAAGACTGCAGTAGGTGCTAAATTATATCACAAAACTACTATGAACTGAGCTTTAATGACTGTTGATGATTTACACTAACCCATTATGCACTCAACTGTCTGCTGCCTTCTTCATGATTGTATCGGCCAGTATGAACATTTTATCACGCAGGTGTCTTCCTTTATTTACCTCAGCGTCCTGCTTTGTGTAGAGTAGTCGGGGCTCGCAGTAATTTACCGCGTTTGTTAATCACAGTGCTCTTTCTCTGATTGGGTGATTGGAATTTTTTCATTTTAAAACCATTTGATTCACTTTTTTTGTTGGTGTTAAAACTGGTTGTTAAATCTGTTTATGTGAGTTGTAATGGTTACAAAAGGTGTTGCACTCAGTTTTACTTTGTAAAATAACATTTAAAGAGTTCATCACCTTCCTGTGTATGAATCTGTGCCAGTGGTGTAGCCTAGCTGCAAATGGTGATACTGCCCTGACCTTTTTGCTTACTCACACACCTCCTGTCCTCAGGTACACCATACATGTGTGTGTGTGTCAGCAGACTGTATAACTGTATAAATTGTAGCTTTCACTTCATTCTGTTTTGTGCTTTAAAATGAGGTAATAAATGCCTATATGTACCAGAAAATAAATGGCAATATCTGAGGACAGCAAGTGAAAAGCAAAACAAACGAAAGAAAATGTCCCAGGAGGAAGAAACTTGTTTTATTTAATAGTAAAGAAGGAACCCAAACATGAATGTGTCACTATTAGTTATAAAACAGATACTGGACTACACTGTGGATGTTAATTACTGTCTTCTTCATAACTGTTTTTTTCTTTTCTGCCAATGACAGAACTTGACATTGCTGAAATATTTTGTCTTTACAGTTTACATGAACATATTTTGTAACTGATGCAATACTTACTTGAAGTCATCTTCACTTATTTACATTATGATTTTTTAAAACATTCTTTTCTAATTTTGTCTCAATTAAGCATTAACATACCACTGTTTTGGTATTTAAATTATTGTTATAACTCAAGAATAATAAAGTTTGAGAAACAGTATTGACATTAGTACTGTTTTTTATTTAAACAAACAACAAGGAGCTTTTAACTGGTTATGAAATTAAATTTGGCAGCAGGTCGGATTCCCTTTTCTCATTAAGGAAACAAGGTGGTAGAAACACTACCGGTTTTGTCCACAGGGGACGCCAGAATCATAAAATGAAAGTTCCTTGTAGGGGTTTTAAAATCACCACATAAAAGAGTACAAAAACATGGTTTCATTCTTACAGCTGAACAAATAAAAGATGAAACTATCTCTGGAGGGTCATGTAGTAGTGATCAGTGACACAAAATGAATTCACATAGTCACTCTCAGAGGATGAGTAAACCATAAATAATCCTCCATTGGAGGTCTGAATTGACAGTCCCAGTTGATGTCTTGGCTGTAAATCAGGACTGATGGTGTGAGTCTCGACTACTGGTTATCTCCTCCACATACCAGGGTGGCAGGAAGGTATATTTGAAGTCCGTGTGGATGGAGTAGGTCACATCTCTGTGGGGCTCGTAAGAGAACAGGTACACTAAACTGGAGAGGGGAAACAATAACGATTCAGTAACAAACACTAACTTAAAATATTTTAAGGTTAACAACGTAGTCTGTCATCGCAACTCACTCTGGATTGTCTTCAGTAGCTATACGCTTCACAAAAGACAGGAAATCACAGCAAAAGTTCATGCAGACTGTTGGCTTCCAGCAGTTCTGTTCATTCTGTCCAGAATAGATACAGAAAAATATTTAGAATGAATCTTTTGAGCTTCTTTTTATTAAAGTCCAATATGTTTTCATTAGAAAAAACACTGTACCTTGATGAGATGTGAAATCTTAGAGATTGGAAACGTCTCCACGCCGACAACCACTCCGTCGTGATCCCGAAAGCCTGCCACAACACGAGGGACCCCAGGGAGAAAAGACTGGGCCCACCACTTGAGCAGTTTGAACCTGTAGACCACCAAAATGAGCAAAACTCACTTTAAAACGGCATAACTTTGGATAAATCAAATATCCGACAAACAGCACGACACGTAAAAGTTAAATATGTGATGTTTTCTTGTTTCATCATCTACCTGTGGAAGTTGCTGCGCTGTTTGGGGGTGCAGATCTCAGCAGAGGTCTTCAGCTCGACGTAGCACGCGGGAGGAGCCGGGGCCTTGGGGTCTTTATCCCGACAGTCCACCTCACCGGAGAACAACAGTCTGTGGTCTGCGAGCCGAGTTTGTACGACGGTGCAGAAGGCTTCATTGGTGTTCACCACTCCGCCCGGGTCAGGTAAACTGTGGACGTTATCTACGGGGATCAACAAAGGTGAAGAATTATCATTTCAACATTTGATCATCACTGAATGTGTTTTATATGATTTGGATTTGTGCGTCAAATGTAATATAATGAGACGGACTGGTATCTATGGAGGCCCATTTCTGCTAGAAAATGGAAAAAGTAATTTTACAAATGATAAAAATACTCCCTGTATGTCAAAATGATTTTACTATTATATAAAAATGTATTAAAAGTTATGATTACTAAGTCAAAACAGCTAGATACAAAGACACAAATTTGGATTTTTTTTTTTTAAACTTTGGTTTACTTACAAAGAAACAAATAATTTAGTTTTTTTTTTCCATCAAAGATGTTTCAACATAGGTTGACAGTTTCCTTTAAAGGAATTCAACGTAAAAATAAATCAAAACAAATTTAAATAACACTATATATTCAGTCCAATATACACATCATACATATTATTTATTTTAAAAATAATAATTTAAATAAATAATAATTCCTGTATATTGTGTAAAGAAGTCCTGCAGACTGCTTCTGGGTATCACCTTTCATCTAGTTCCTTACTCCGTATATGATCCTTAAAATGATCAAAGAAACAAAAAACTGTTCCCCCAGTACCTCCGCTAACGGTGTCCATCTTTCTATGAAGGATATCCTCTGTAATCCTACATCTAGCATATATGTATGTTGTTCCATTATAGAAAAAGTATCTTATTATCTTTTGTTATTAAGAGCATATCACCTATTGTTTTCCTTTCCTGGGCTTCCATAGCTATGACTACATATACTACTGTGAGGCAATATGCTTGCAGAATATCATAGATGAGTTGATGTAAGGCAGTTCATCAATATGATGCAGTTGCTATAATACAATTTCATATAAACCGACCTACCTGCACATGTGTATTGCTCAAACTTGTATCCCCAGTACATCATCTCTTCATGCCTCGCTGCGCGGTTCTCTTGCTCCCTGCGAGCAGCTTCGGTCTCCACTTCACTGATGTAAAGCGTGCCCTTGAACTTGGTGACCGCCAGCAACCAGCCCTCCCGTGCCTCATAGGGAGTGGTCAGCAGCTTGGTCAGGTGACCACGCCATGTCACGAAATCAACATCTAACGCACTGGAAAGAGCAGAGTTTGATCAAAGAATACGCGTCCAACGGGAAACACTGTTGTGGTGAGAGGTGGTTGTGTCTGTCTGTGGTAACCTGGACCTTTAAACTACCAGTGACACTTACCATGATGAAGCCGTGGTCTCCCTTGAGCTGAGCTTTGATCTGTTGGCCAAGATCCAGCGTAGGATGTGGTCCAGCTTCTCCTTCACACGATCATCCCTCTTTATGTAGCGCTCCTTGTATCCATCCTTCAGGTCAAAGTTGGGGTTTTTGTCAGGTTCCACGTAGTATCTCATCTGCCTGCTGTCGTTGAAGAATCTCCGCTTAGAGTCCAGGGAAAAACATCCTACTTCAACGGGCTGTTTGTAGACAGGAAAGTTTCTTTCATATTGCTCCCTTCTGGTGCTCAAACCCTGAGAGCCGAGTGGGTTTTGCCAGGGAGTCGGCGCAGACTGATTCTGCTGGTGGTGCTGCGGTTTGAAGTGTTTCTTCTCACTATATGGTCTTCCACAGTCGTCTCTTTCTCTTTTGAATGCCGACTGGTGGGTTCGGAAGCTGGAGTTGGGATTGTGGGATCTGTGGGGGTCCATTGCTGGCAGGTGGGGAAAAGAGTGAATAAAACAAACTGATGACACAGATGTTTATTTACATCTTCTTGATAATCTCGCCCTCCTGCAGGAAATCCAAATAACGCAGTGCATACACTATACTAGAGACTGACAGTTACTTATCTACTCTGTTATAAATCTGTTATTGGGCTTAATCTTGCTGCAGTGATTCTTCATTTTCCCTGGATGGGTTACACAGAGTTTCAACTTTAAATGCACCAAAATTGAACACATCACCTCGAGATCTGTGTAAATAAGTGCTGTGTGTGTATGTGCATACTAATTCATGATTTAAAGATGTAATATTCGTACTGACTGCTGTTGTACATATACATTAGTGTACATTTGTCTTGCATCTACTACGTATAAGTCCTTTATTACGGGTAAATACATGAAAACATACCTTATTCAGTAAATACCACTATGGCAGCTAACGTTAAGTTTTTCTCAATGCTAAGTCCGCCTCAATAATTAACGAGTTTGTGTAAAAAGCACATGTTTCAGCACAGTTCATAATAAACACTAAAATGAGAGAACGAGAGGCACAATGTTTGTTTTGTAACATGGGTTAGCTACCTAGCATCACAAGCTAACACAAACCCTAACGCCACTTCCGTGTGCAGTTTCTCATCCATCGTCGTCAACTTTTAATTTTATTAAAACGCTGGTGGGAATTAACTTAGCCTCAGTTTAGGTTGAGCTCCGCTTCGGCGTTGCCCTGTGAGCTAACTTACTTGCAGTAGCTGCAACAAACGGGATCTTGTACGACTTTCGACCGGAAGCGCAGCCTCTTGAGCCGAACACGGTTTAACCGACGCCTCGAATGGTTCAGCCAATCAGAGGAGAGGAGGGGCGGGGCGGGGCGGGGCGGGGGGGGGGCGTT